AAAAGCAATGTTTAATGGATATATTCTTCGAGACTGGATCGGGTGGAAGTTATCGGTGAACTTTTTCCGATACGTATGCAGCACCACCGTGGCAATTACCGTAGGAACGGTATACTTTTTTCCAAAGTTCCTCCCTTTCGAAAGTCCTTTAAGCCGAATAAATAAAGTTGCCGGTGAAGGAGAGAAGGTGGCAGAGGACGAAAAGTTTACGGTTGTTTTATTCGGCCGGTGGATCCTCCCCCGCCGCCCGGTTCCGGAAAGTAGTCGATCTCGCCAAGTGAAACGTTACGGTAGCGCGCGGTCAGATAGGTGGTAAGAGGAGCGATGAATTGTGAGAGTTTGCAAAGGGGATTTGGCGGATTAGTCGAGGTCTATAGAGCGTGCACTTTATAAGTCCCTGACGAAACCAAACTAATTAGATATGTATGGTCGAAGCGTCGCCGTGGGACATATAATTAATGCGGTGCACCGGCTAAATGAGAAATTAATTACGATATGGAAATCAGAAGGATCCCTCGGCCTGGTTTACCATCGTTTTACCTACGGACTCGGATATACGTTTCTTTGAGGTAGACGCGCGTGCAGAACGTGCTACCGGGGGAGCAGAGGATGCACATGTTCCTCGATCTACCGAGGAAAATCCAGAATAGTCGGTCGCGAAAGCCGCCACTGAGAAGGCTCAAAGCCGCTTTCGTTCCAACTCCCAAACACGATCACTTTCTTTCTTCCACGCTGCCGCCTCCTTCAGAAATTTTCAACGAGATACTCCAACGCTCCTCTCACTTCTTACCTCGATATTATATAGCCACTTAGGAAAGAAGTTTCGCCTAAAACCCTTCTGGGTAGACGGTTAAACATTAGAGCTAAGAGTTAAGGATCATCGGGCTAACCCTGTTGTTGAACGGAGGCCAGCGAAACTGTACAGTTTACTCGACATGTTCCGCCTTGGTTCGCGGTAATTTCATTGAAAACCAAAACTAACTGGCATCCATGTCCATCTGGGATCCCCTTCCCCACGGTTAAGGAAGCATAGGAGCAAGCATAGGAATATTTAGCTTGCGATATGTACCGACGATCGCAATCGATTGAAAAAGGGGTAGACCAGAAAGGGGCAGAAAGTGTGTTTTCCGAAGAAAGGTTGAATATTGTTCGGTGTTGATCGAGGATAAACTTCTTCTTGGTTATCCATAATCTCGTTGATTAGCGAAGGTTCAAGGCGCAACGGTCGATTTTCAAACGAACTTTTAAGCTAATTAAAGGGAGCGCCAAGAATCGATTTACCGAATAAGCGACGCGATTCTTCGATTTTGGAAAATTGACATGCTCGGTACCGAACAACCGAGATAGTTTTCGAGTTCGCTAAAGTACTTTCTTTACCGGAACCGTGGGACTCTGGTACGGCGCAACACACAATCTGTTCTCACGGTTATTGGATTCCAGTGTGAAGCGCAAACAAACGGGAGTAACGCGTAAATTCAAGGCATGAGTGCACGGTTAGCGTAAAAGTCGATTCACAGAGTACGTATACGGCCGCAGGGATACAAATTTCCCGTGTAACCTACCCTCGGCGAGTGTAAAAGCTCGTTTCCACCGGCGAAACATTTTCCTTCCCTTTTTTTCCCCCATTTTCTCACAGAGATAGAGAAACGCGCGCGGCACTTGCCGACCTTACATCGAAGAGGGCGATGCGATTTCAAACGAAAAACGGTGTCTTTTGAAAAGAGGTGCCGCTCTATATAGGCGAGAAGGGTTCGGTGAAAAAAGGAGGAGAAACGAAATATCCGGGAAAAATTACATTCCCGAGGGAACGTCGTAACGGAGAGAGTTTAGATAAAAATTTCCGACGTTTGTCACGGTCCTTCCTAATTAAAGGTTCCGAGATTAATGCCGGTAATTTTCCGCCGCCCCGGGCAATCGATACGTTTTCGCCTGGACACGCAGCAACGAAAATCCCTCTCCTCTTTTCAAAGTATATTCCTGGATCGCTCCTACCGTTGCATTTCACCGCTCCTTAAACTTCCCAGCTCGTCAGCAGCCGCGAATTTTATCGTCTTCCCGTTCCTCCGCCAGGTATCTACATATTTACGTAAAAGAAAATGAAATTTTGCAAACGATTTACGGTTAGCTCGAACTTTGAACTGTTTAAGGAAATTCGATACGTCGCGAACCGCTTTTACTCGTTCTGACCGTAAGCTGCTTTCAACCACGACCACCTCTTCTTACCGGTGTAAGAGAAACGTGGCACGAGACCCAGCTGGTTGCTCGAAACAACGATCAAACCGCTCTAACGAGTGTTTAAACTAAGCTTGTTAACCATCACGGACGAAGAAGAAACGCCGACGTGAAGCGGACGCGAGTGTGTTGAAGTGACGACGACAACGCCTGCCAACGTCTCCTTTCGCTCCCTTTCGTTGCAATTCCTTTCAAGTTTCTAAAGCGACACTCCCTCCGAGCGGAGTAGGTAAGGGTAAACGATACGCGAAATACATAATTTCGTTGGTTGGTGAAATATTCATACGGACGAGCCTATTTCCAAGCAACGTTTTTAGCTTCTCCGCGACGTAAACCACGAAACGAACGTGAAATGACAATCCGGCCTTCCCTTTCCCCGATCGAACCGACAAAAAGGCAAAGGAACTGGAACGAAAATTACGAGGATTTTTCCACGCGAGTTTCAAGCTCGTATCACGTCGAACGATATCGCCTCCCCGAATAACGAAAATCAAGCATTTAAACTGGAAGCGATGAACACCGTTGACCCGATTTCCGTAGCTAAACGAGCTTAGCAAGATCCGGCGTGGTACGAAAGAGGGGGCAATTTCTCTTTTTGCGATTCGTTCGTGTATTTCTGGAAAACGGTTTCGAATGTTTTTTGCACGTAACGCGGGTGTGTAACACGTGTGTAATTGGATGTTGGAGGTGCGAGATCGGTCGATTACGCGGAAACAGAACGGTAATTCCGCTAGCCGTTCAAAACGAGACGGAACGTGACGATGTTCGATGCAATCTAGACAAAATGTGTAGTACACGCGGCGGCACATTTCTCCCTCCCCTATCGATTTTCCCGCATTATTGCCTCGGAAAGGCAACCAAAGGGCGAATATTAAAACTTATACGCTATTCAAATTCAAAATTTCACCTCAACGTTATAATTACGTTTCTCGTACGGCCCCTATTTTTCATTTGATTAAACAACGCCCGTTCTCCCCCATCGCGCACTAATACCGCCGGGACATTTGCGCAAATAAATTCCCGACAGACGTATACCTGTTTGCTTGCCGCACCATGGAAACGCGCGTTCGTATCGTTAAAAAAAAAAAATATTCGTCGATCGAACGAGCTTCGTCGGTCTCTGTCCTCCTACCGGATGGGGAATATCGTGGAAAAGGACAGCTTTCGTTTCTCCTTTCCATCCTTTCTTGATGAACCGTCGACGAACTTTCCCCGCTCGGAGCAGCAACAGCAGCAGCTGAGCAGCGGTGGATTGTAAATTACGAGGCGCAATTTGTGCGAAACCAAAATGTGGCTTGGAGAGTAACGATGACGCAGCTGGTCAAAGGAAGTAAACTAACTGGTATATAATCCGGTTGCACCGGCAAGCGAGCCGAATATTCTCTGCCGTTGGTTTTCTCCCGTGCCTTCGTTTTCCCCGGTGTCTATCTCGAATTTTCGAAATCGCGTTATCCTTACGCCTCCTCTCGTCCACTAGCGGCGTGCTCATTAGCGGCAGGCTTTGTCAAAGTATTCCAATAGTATTTGCGTATCGGTAAAACTCCATGTTGTTATTCAATATTTCCGACGAAACGAAGCATCCTAAGTCCTCTCATTAGCGTAGATTATCCCTGCGAATACGCGCCGCGGCAAATTTCCATGAATGCGCCGTGGTAACGAGAGCAACCCGCATTTCCACTGAATGGTGAAACCGAAACTAAAAATGAAAGTTGCCACGTTCACGGGAAACTTGGTTTTCCTTACGCCACTTCTACATATATGTATGTATATACGTATAGACAATTTAGTGCCGACTATTTGCATCAATTGCGAACCCACCACCTCCTACACCTTCCTAACAACTTTGCCTGCATTACCGTTCAAAACTTGCCAACACCCTGAAACCTTGGCTTAAAACTTTCATCCGACCGTTTTTCCTTCCCGTGCGCGCCAACGAATCGATCGATCAAGCTGATTTATACACGGCTCCTGATTAATCCGAGGCGTCTTCGCCCCGAAAATTGTCGAATGTCGGAAATGACGGAGAAATTGATTTTCCTCCGTCCAAGTTTTAATTACATACGGATGATCAACGACCCACCTATACGGTTCTAAAGAGGAGTCATCTGCTACCTTCCTATTCCGAGAGAGAGAGAGACGCGAAAAAATAGGTCGTGTACGTTTAGCTAATGTCGAATAACGAAACTCGGTCTAAAAAGAAATTTAACCGGCGGATAAAAAGTGGCCAGGAGAGGTTTCCACGGTGAAGAAACTCCTCGCGTTGCTACGGGCATAAGGGAGTAACGTTTCCTTTCACGGACAGCCGAGCTTCTGAAGGAAAGCTGGCGTAAAACACGCCGCTTACAAAGCGGCCACGCTGAAATTCGTCTAAGAAGAAAGTGGCGTAGGTTGACCGATGGATCCTCCCGAGGTGGTTCAAGTTTAATTAATCGAGAGCACAGGCGACGAGGCATTTTTATAATTTTACCTTTACCCGACCAATTTCCAGACAGCTTTGCACAATCAGCTCGCAGCATCGCGCCGGGGATAGCCCCAACGATAATTGCCAAACGCGAC